AGTCTTGACCGACACATTGCTTCCACCGTCCGTCTAGCTCTGCCATGGCAGCAACTGAAGCAGTACATGTTGTGGCCACGTACTTGTTCCTGCACACCGTCCCCTCAACTTCGTAAAACGTACATGTACAGCCTGACATGTATAGATTCCCTCTGCAAAGTGGTGCGGCCTGTCCCTTGGAAGTCGAGTAGGGACCAATTGTTGAGCAATTGCGAGTTTGTATAATTGCTACTGTGCGATTGCACCTTTGGGCCTGTATTTGGGCTCCTGTAATTCTTGCAGCATGCAGTACCCTCTTGCAAAAGCCAGGCATCTTTTGCAACTGCCAATTGCTTGCGACCATTTCGCCTGACTCTCCAATACCACGTGGGCAAGAGGGTAAGCGGATGCATACAGGCGAAAATGTACCCTGTTCGTACATGATCTACATTGCCCATCTTCCGGTCTTAGATGATATTCGCTATGCTGATACGACTTGTGCTCGACGGTGCTGGGCTGGAGCTTGATAGACTCTTTGGCGGTGAGTACGTGTCGGGTGCGAGTTGCACTCGTTTGACGGGATTGTGCACTGGTGGATAATAAGCCGCCGGCTGCGTATTTCGGTGATGGCGCTCGCCCATTAATTGCCGCACCATGTGCTCAACCCGGCCCCAGTCATTCCATTCCGCGCCTCCATTCAACAATGCATTGGTTGGTGGCGGTCGTGCGGGTAGCCCGTCTCGCATTGCTTCGTCGCCTCCCGGCGATACCGTAGCGCCAGGTGCCGAGTCCCGGCCCGACACAGAAACCATACTGGTACCTGCCCAAACCCATGAATGCTCCAGACTGCCCTGTATGTCAGCACTGAGGTATGCAATCATCTCCTCGTCGTGTTCTAGCTGTTTGCCACTGCCGATACCGTTGCGCGTTCGGTCGAACAGTCGTTCAAGAAAGAAGGCAATATTCTTGCCACAAGCAGCGTTAATCTTGCGTGTGCTGCCAATAGCTTCGGAGAGGTGCAGGCACACCAAGGCTGCATCATACTCGCCCCGGAAGCACAGTACCAGGATGCATCGCCACAGATGCAGGCATACTGCATTACTCGCAGCCAACGCCACTCTCTCTGTCCCTGTCTGGCCGGAATCATGAACTGAAGGATTGTGCAATACTCTCGACACATACTTTGCCGTGTCCTGGGCAACAGAAACGCATCGTTCCAATGCATTAGATCGGCTTATAGCACTCGACAATGGGCTGAGGTTCCGCCGGTGGAGATGAAGTCGAGCCGAGAGCAAGACAAAGACTGTTGGCAACACCCTTGCATCGAGCAGTGCCCCCGAGTCTGGCTGGTAGTTTTCTGGTAGGAGTAGCAACTTTGAGCGAAGCTGTCCATCGAAGCTTTCCGTTGTTTGTGGAAGCATAACGCTAGACTTCAAAGCGTGCTGTAGGGGCGCATAGAGGCGTGTAATGTGTATTGTCGCCACGAAGCCAGTAAAATGGGCTGGTTTTGTCGAGGGACAGAATGGCTCATTGGGCTGTATGTAGCGATCGTCGATTGGTGATGGGAGCGAAATCTCGCAATCATTCTCGTTGATTAACATTGGACGGCTTGTCTCGAGTGACATAATTCTGTGTCGCGGTCAGTTCGTAGAAGAGTCCAAGCCAGACAGACAGGTTTTGCTCACCTGTCACGAATGTAGATGGACCACCAAAGTCTACGTCGAATTTCGCCGTCAAAAGCGGACCAGCAATCCATTTCAGGACTCATCTGTAATTCTTGTGCAATTCTTACCGCAGACGCCAGCCAGATGGAGCCGAGGGAGCGTTGATTGCTTTCTGTCGCAAATATGCTTAACAACAGAGCTGCCTGAGCATGTGTAATGGTAAGCTCTTGTGTCCAAGGCTGGAGAGCAGACACTGCAGTTTCAAACATAGCCTGGCCTTCTGACAGCATGTTACAAGAAACATTGTGCTCTGATCTAGGATGCAAACAGCCACAGGCCAGCACTGCGAAGAACAAGCCAACCCAATCCCGAGAGCAACCTTCAAAGCTGCGTGCGGCATAAACCTCGTCTGCTTTGTGCTGAAAAGTAGGCCAATGTATTGCAGGGTACGAATCGTGTACCGTATCGAGGAAGGACCGAGAAAAGTACGCAAAGTCTGCACGCAAAGGCACCGCAGGCAGCGGCCAATTCGGCTCCGCAGCCCGCAAGACGTTTTGGTGAGGCATAGTGAATATGTCGTGGGAATGCTCTCGAATGTTATTGCGAACGTGGTTAAAGTTGTCCAGGACTGGTACACATATCTGTCGTGGTCCTAGTACTGCTCCAGTGTGTACTTCGGAGTGTCTCCGTTTCATGTCTGTTCGCTCTCCATCCATAGGACTCTGGTCAGATACCTTATTTCGTAGCTGGGAATTTACATGAGTCAATTCGGCAATTTGACTCTGTAGGTCCTGGACCTGCCTGTGCATAATGAGCATTTCTACCACAGATTTCTACACAAGATGACGACTACTTACTTGATTGATGACATGCGGCGATTTGTCTCTTTAGTGAACTGGCACCGATGATTTCGGCTCGAACACTCTGAACAGGCTGAAGTTTCGGTAGCATCGCACTGTAAAAGATTGTCAGCCAATTTCGACAAAGGCCCCAGTCCGCCTGCTCAAGCCATGCGTACAATAATGTACCTTCGCTGATTAGGGGCCGTAGATGCCTTTGGGGGCATGCCTGCTCAACGTGCAGAGATGGATAGTGGACAATTTTGGACAAGTGTACAGCCAATTACGACATGAGCCACAAGTCTTCCCCCACCCCTCCCCCTTCTCGCTAACCAGCTACTGGTTTGCTCACATTCCTCCAGAAAACATGTGGGTCAAGGCATGTATGTGTCTAGGTCGATGCAGTCCCTGTTGTGATTTACAAACTCACCTTTACTTTGCGTTCTCGACATGCATCGCATGAAGGGTCTTTTCTTCGCTGTCTGTAGGCTCTCTTTTGCGCAGTCAAATTGGCAGAGGGTATCTGGGTGGGAGAGATGACCGAGGCACTGCTATCGTGGCGTTGAATGTCCGGTAGGCCTGTAGAGACAGCACTTGGTGACCCAGAATGGCTGTAAGAGCTCGAAGGATAGTGTGGTGATCTGGAGCCTGGCTGAGGTAGATTTGGTGCAGCAAGAAGAGCCGTCGGACGAGGAGTTTGTTGCGCCAGGGCAAAGGGATTCGGTGCAGGTGCCATTGTTGTTGGAGATGCTCCGTTTGAGCCTGTGGAAGACTTGTGCATGGTTAGCAGCACAGGAGCGGGGAAGCAGTTCGGATGCTCCGGTCCAGACTTTGATGAGTGATGAGAATCCGTAGACAGGAAATGTTGTAACTGTAGAGCAGTCAGTGGCTACGGGAGCAGCCGATGACGGCAAGCACTTGAAGAGGTCCCAACGATTGACCACCTCGTGGCACCACACAGAAGCAGGCAGCCAATGAGGGCGGCTGTCAGCAGCACATAACGTAGCCGAGCGTGAGGCGGCGAAATGCGCAATGTGGTGGGAGTGTGGATGAATGAGTCGATCAACGGGCCCTTAGTCTAGAGTGGGGAACCCGTACAGGTAGAGCGGAAAGATTGGTAGTAGCAGTAGTAGTAGTAGAAGAAACAACCCGAGGCGTAGACCTACACAAGCTGGATGCGCGGTGGTCGGGTGGTGTTCCGTGTCGCTTGATGGTGCGCTCTCAGCCAACCGATGGGTGAGTGGCCGAGAAGTCAAAGCTTGGGGTAACAATCGGGAGCAGAGACGGCTAGAGTGGAAAGAACGACCCGCAGCTCCTTCTCTATTAGTTCAACGGCGACCGAGGCCACCGGATATGAGCAAGTGACGGGACAGACTCCGAGGGGCGGCAGACAGCACAGTCAGTGAAGAAGGCTGAGAAATCCAGGCCAGGGGGACCAGGCCAGGCGAGAGTGGATTCGACGCCTCTGTAGGAAGCAATATTCGAGGTGGTGATGCTGCACAGTTGATTAGCCCCAGTCCGGATGGTAGTGGTGGAGACCCTGGCACACCTTCGGGGCGCGGCGAGCTGGCAACAAGGTTTAATCGCGGCGGTAAACTGGTGGATATTGGCGGCTGCTGGTGGTGGTGCTACTACTACTACTCTAGACGCTTGGAGTACGGGGGGGGGGGACAGGGCAGGGCAGGGCAAGGTAGGGCAGGGAGAAGGAGAGGGAGAATTGGCAGAGACAGAGGACAGAGGGCAGAGGCAGGTCCGCAGCAGCACACACACACACATGCAAAAGGGCCCCGGCGCTCGTGGGTGGCTGTTGAGAGTAGAGTAATAGTAATAGCAATACCTAGGCAAGATGGGATGGGATTGGGGGAGGGGGCGACGGAGGCTCGGTGGCCCTGGTCTTGCTTTCCCGGATGGTTGACTAGTGTGGGTAGTGCGGCAGCAAAAAAAAGAGAAAGGCAGGGTGGTGTCTGGAGCGGCTGACGTAGGGGTAATGGCCAGTAGGAGAGTAGTTTTTTTGCGTAAGTAAGTATGCAAAGCACAAGAGGCAGAGAAGCTTTTTGCGGGTCTCGAGTGCCACCAAAGTCGAGATATATTCCCTGGACCTGGGTCAGCGGGTGGGACAATGGGGTGGCATGCAAGCGTGCGTGCCTGTGTTTCGTGAAGACAGCCCAATGGCTCCGTAAAGCGGGTACAGCTGGAGGCGCTTGCTGGATACGGGACGACGCGAAAGCACAAGTCGAGGCTCTAGGACTACACGGGGTGCCATCTCCGTGGTCAAGTCGGGCGCCGATCCGGGCAGACAGGCTTTGGGGGAGGGGAGGGGGGGGGAGGACAAGACAGTCAGGGCTTGTCGAAGCCTCATGTTCCAGAAGATGATCGGTTCGTGCCTAAAGTGCCAGCGGTCCACAACGCTTCTCCCAAAACGCCCCATGGCAAGCGTCTTCGGCGAGATTTGAGCAGGGGTGGACCTGCATGTGGGAATTGAAGGCTTTTCGTTACCGCCTGTCGCCCCGGCCAAGACATGGCATGGCATGGCATGGCAGGTCCCGGGTGCAAGGCGAGCATTGTACGCATAGGGAAAGGGAATGCATCAGCCAACGGCGCCCGGTCGCGCAGGGCAGGCGAGAGGCTCATGGCGCGGTGCATGTGTCAGTCCAGGGGCGGCGGGAGAGCGGTTGCGTGGGCGGGTGCGTGGGCGGGTTTGGGATCGAATGAGCATGGTGGGTGGCAGTGGTTCAGCGGAGGAGCCCAGCCACAGCGACCGAGTTCCAACGGCGGGCGCGCCACAGACGTCAAGCCACTGAGCCCCACCCGTGTCACCCGTGTCACCCGTGTCACCCGTGTCACCCCGACGTACGAGCAGGAATAGTACAAGTGCTTAGCAGCTGCTACTTACTAGTAATGCAGTCACAGTGTCAAGCTGAGATTGGCGGCCCCGGTGGCGCCCATTCCCCCCATCGGCCATCCCATAATAGACGGGACGCACATGCGCATGCACATGCGCAAGACGTCTCTGAGCATCAGCCCACCGTGGACCGGCCCTGCGCAGTGCCGATGCAGATGCAGATGCAAGTGCCAGAATAGCCTTTGGGCTCGCTCGCACCCGCTGGCCGAGGCGATCCCTGGCCCTGCTACTGGCTAGTAGGGTCAGAGTCAGTGCCGACCAAGTAACTATGTAGGGACTAGAGTAACCAAGTACTATGTACATGCGTACTAATATGTACTAGATGCATATATACTACATGAATACTACTCTGCGCACACGTGTAGTATATGTGGGTTTGTGGGTGTGTGTATGTATGTGTGTGTGTGTGCACATGGCGTATGCATGTTACCACTGCAACTACACATGTAGTGTACACTACTACTTGCCTACTAATGCACTGCTACATAATACTAGAGACAGACAAAGTACTACCGCTACTACTTACTTACTACCTTTGGTTGTGTACTGTACACGGTCGTCGGTACGTACCACCTGCAGAACGTGTTTCCCCACGTTTGGCCTGTCCGCGCCCGTCCCGAGCGCCCCACTGCCATGCTATGCCATGCCCTGTCATAACACCATGCCTTGCCGTGCCAACTTTGTCTCCTAATTTCCTACGTGTAGCTATAGTACGACTATACACACTAGCAGCCGTCCACGCTCACCCGCTGCTCGTGTTGGCACGCTCACGGCATCGCAACCAGTGGACCACGGCCCAGCCTGGTCCCGAGGCGGTGACCAGGCCCTCGACCGACTGCTAGCACAGAAGAGGCCCCAAATGCAAAGTGTGTGTCCAACTGCCGAACCGCTCGTCTAGACCGGCACGGCGCTGCTCGTTGCCACGTCGAGGTGACTCTGCCCGTCGCCTAGCACGCGCGCATCCGGAGCCCTACAAGGCGTTCGCCGCATGTCTCAAGTGCAAGCACACACGCAGCTGCCATGTTTCTGATACACGCCTTGGCACGTCTGCCTCTGCGTCCCATCCTCCGCCTGCCAGCAGCCAGCTGCCAGCTGCCAGGCGACCAATCTCAGTCCGTCTCGGCTCCTTCCACCATGCGCCACTCGGCCCTGTCTGCTCCCCTCCTTCCCTCCCTCTCTCCCCTGCTGCCTTTGGTCCCTATTCCCTATTCCCTCACTTGCCGCCTCTTCCCTTTGTCCCTCTACCCTCCCCGTCGCCTATTGCGGCCTGCCCTCCAATATTGATTACCTGCGCGCGTGCTCCTTGGCTGCATCTACCGTGTACCGTGTACCGTGTACCGTGTACCGCCCCAACCTGCCACCACGCCAGACAAAAAAGGTCCCCTATGTACGCACTCACGATCTGCCAAGTTGATCGCTTGTTGATCATATCTACATGATTGCGCGGCCCCCCTGGCCGCCCGGCAGTCTCCGTCCCAGGAAGCCAGCCGAGAGGGGCTTTTCGAGAAGGGCCAAAGGCAAGGCAAGACCAACTTGGTCGAGTAAAACACTCCATCTGCAAGACTGCCCGTCGTCTGCAGCACAGGCCCGAATCATGGCCCCCCGCCTATTCTCAAATCGACCATGGTAACCCGAAATATGCCGTTGGCAGCACACTAACCCTTCCCTTCTCTTCCCTTTCCCTCCCTCGCTCCCCCTCCCCCCCTAACCCTCGTGCCTTGGCTCTCCCACCGCAGCCGATCGACGCCTTGTCGAGGCCAGTCTTGCGCGCGCGCTTGCAAAATGCCTAAAAGCTTGGTTGACCGATCTCGCAGAGAGGATGCCGCAAAGGCAAAAAGTGCCTGCTCAACATTGGTGGCGAAGCTGCCGACGCGTCCACCACACGGCATTGGTGCCATGTCGGCGAACGCTCTTACAGCCGCCTAGAAAAGGTATCAGTCGACAAGAATGATCGGCAAAAGGATTCAACGTGGTTGCCCCTGCAATATCCGCACCTTTTTCCCCTCCACGCATCGTCCTTGCCTCACCCACCCCACCCCGCGGCATGCGATCGCGGTATTTGGCACTTTGCCTATCCGCCTCGCCTGATGGCCTCATTTCCCTTCCCGTCCATGATGCTCGTACCATATCCAATGACAAATATCTTGGTAAGCACGTCAGGCACAGCAGCGCACCTCACAAGGTGAGACCTGTCTTACACCACCAGGCTGAAGTTGCCACTGTGCAATGACCCGACCGAGTGGCTCAATGAACCCCCCAAACCTTAACTCGACCACCTCCACTCAACCACTCGGAAAATACGAGGCAACCACCATCCACCATGTGGCCTTCGGCACCAGGGACCATTGCCTGCTTACATCCGACCGCTAGTCCAAACGCATGACACGGTAGGTCTAGGCGAAACGTTGTGCAAATCATCAAACATGCTATAGGGCTGAGATCCTGAGAGCCCACTCTTCGGACATGACACACACACACCACCAATGCCTTTTTTCTGTTTGACTTTTGCATCTTGTACTTGTATATGCTATGTAGTGGACTTTTTGTGTTGTTCCGCCATGTAGTACTTGCAAAAAAAAAGGCCCCCCCCTTCCCCCTCTAGATGTGTTTGGCTGCTTGGAACCATTGCAGCTAGCGTGGTAAACTGCCTCGGTACACTCTTTGCACGGTAGACGACCAGGCCGAGGTCGCGAACAGGGTTGTTATACCAGGAATCTATCCAGCCCAACCCGTTTCCTTACTTTTTCCTTCTCCGTCGCCATTACCTCGCTGTCCAAGGCCCCGCTGTCATAACTCTACCTCACGTGATATTATCGACCATGGCATCGGCAGAACAGGATGTCCGGCTCCAAGACTTTGCCAACATCTTCAGCCTCAAAGGCAAAGTCGCCGTCGTCAGCGGCGGCTCACGAGGCCTAGGGCTCCACGCAGCATCAGGGTGTGTACCATGCATATCTTCTGCACGCATCCAAAAATAACCCTCACGATGGCACGATGAACAAACAACGCTCGATAAAGAGAAGAAGAAGAAGAAAAACTAACTCTTTCTTGCGAAAATCAAAAGTCTCATGCAAGCCGGCTGCTCTAAGATTTTCATCACCTCGCGCAAGGCCTCGGCATGTGACGCGGCCGCGGCCGCCCTCAACGCCCTGCCAAACAAATCTCCGGGCGCGAAAGCCTACTCCGTTCCCGCCGATAGTTCCAAAGTCTCCGAGATCGTCCGGCTGGTGGGCGAGATAGCCAAGCACACCGATCACGTGGACATTTTGTTTGCAAATGCGGGGGCGACATGGGGCAGTAGGTTTGACGCCGTCGACGAGAAGAATGGCTGGGACCGCGTCATGGATCTGAACGTCAAGGGCGTATTTTTTACAATACAAAAGTATGTTTTTTTCGTTTTGATTTTTTTTTCCCGGACTTTTCCCCCGACCTCTCATTCTCCTCCAAACCCCAACCCAAGTATGAGGTTCGTCCAGGATTAGAAAACATGAATCTGATAAGGGGACGTGGAGGAGAGAAAGAAAGGAAAAAAAGCATGAGCAAAAAAAGAACGGAAAGAACGGAAAGAACCAATTCATTGTGAGGGAAAAAGCAAAAAGACAAAAAAGCGGATTTGAGGGACGTTCACTGTTGACATTCGATTTTTAGATTCGCCCCGTTGCTCACAAAAGCAGCTTCGGTTCAAGATCCCGCGCGGGTCATTGTAACAGGCAGCGTTGCTGGTCTCAGCACGGGCTCAGTGGGCGGTGATTCAGCCGCCTTTTCGTACGCGGTATCGAAAGCCGCAGTGCTGCATCTTGTGCGTAACCTGGCTGTTGAGCTGGGACCGCGCCACGTTCTCGTCACGGGCATTGCGCCGGGCTTCTTCGCGAGCAAGATGACGGATGTGGTGATGCAGCAGGCGGGTGGGGAGGAGGCGCTGGGCAAAGCGACTCCGAACGGACGGGTAGGCAAGCCCGAAGATATTGCTGCGGCCGTCGTGTTTCTGAGTTCCAGGGCCGGAAGCCATGTCAACGGTGACACGATTGTGCTTGACGGGGGGAAGATTCACGGAGGTGTCAAGTTGTAGAACGTTTCTTTGTCACCGAATCACGCCATCTTCAACCCTTAATTTATCATCTTCTGTTTTTTCTCTCTCTCTCACTCTTCTCCAGTCGGAATCCTCATCCCATGCATACCCGCATACCCACTTTTCTCAGGCCTCTTCCAATCCTTCAACACCTCCCTCCTCACCCCTTCCTCAATCTCCAGCACCTCCACTTTAATCGGCCGACACGTACTCTTCATATCCGGCGGTGCCTCCCCCTCCCCCCCTTCCTTCCCTTCCTCCGCCTGATGCCACCCCCACGCACTCAAATCCCCGCCCGGACACGTACTCAACGCACACAGCAAATCCTGCTCCGCAAAAAACGTAATATAACTCTCCTCAGTCGCAGGGCTAGCCTCCATAAAGTATCTCCCTTGCTCATCCAGCCCAGTAACCTGAAACACATTGAGTACATCGTGAACGTCGAATTCCGTGAGACCAAACGGCAAGACCGCCCGCACGAGGTTGGAGTGGCAGTGGAAATCGTAGCTCGCGCCCGTAAGCATGTGTGACACTATTTCCCTCTTTGATATCAGCCCCCCCCCCCCCCCCACCAATTTCTAATTTCCATGTTAAGTAAGCCAGATTTCTTTAC